TCACTTCCCAGAGGATACCTGGGGCAAAGTGACAGACATCTATGCCTCAGTGTCCCTGGCTGCAAAATTGGAACTTGGAGGACATTCAGAACTGTGCTTGAAGCATAATTAGTTTTCTGTCTTACTTTTACAAGAGTACAAACTCCAAAAACATTCACTGAGTAAATGTGAAGTTTTTCATCCAAGTTAGAAAATCAAGAAAACCAACTTATTGTTCTTAAAACGGGAAATACTATGATGATAATAATACCATTTATTCTTTTTTAAAAAAGTGTCAGGCCATATCTGGTATCTTCCAGACATCAGCTCTCATCATAATGCTCTGAAGCTAGAATTTTCTCCCAATTTACAAAGTAAGTGAGGTTCAGAGGGATTACTTAGCTTGCTCAAGGAGATGCAGCAAATGAAGTGTCGGAGCCAGAGTATGAACTCAGATATCTTCTTACAAAGTTGATTCCCATCACAGTTCTAGGTTTCTTTACTAAAGTAACAAGAATTCTACTAGCGACTAACAGCATACGAGGAATCATGCTAATGTACATGACTGAATTACATGACTTTTAATCCATTTAACATGCTGAACAGCCCTGGGAACTCTTTATATTTTGGATGTGAAAACTGAGACTTGAGGAGGTGAAATAAATTGCCGAAGTTTATGTAGACGATAAATCCTAGAAGCTGAATCCAAACTCACAAACCTGGGTTCATGGCATCTGTATGATACTGCCTCCCAGCCTATAGTTGAAGAATGTCAAAGGGATTGGATGCCAGCAGGAAAGCCAGAGCCAGGATTAAACTGACCTTGTATGTTAGGAAAAGAAGTTTGGGTCTTTTTTTGTGATAGGTCACTGTCAGAGGTCAGAGACAGCAAGAAGCATTCTGGGAACTTCTACCAATTTCCTCCTCTGTAAACTGAGGAATCTTGGACCATAGAACACTAAACTCCTTTTTGCTCCAAAACAGTATATTGTTGCAGTTTGTATCATTCCTTACAACCACCCAGTGGCTTCCCTGTAAAGTTAGCATAAAATCCTTCCCTTGTATCATGGTCTGCAAGACTCTGCCGGCTGTAGCCCCTGCCTGACTCTGACTTCACCTATTTGTCGTAGAATGCTCCAGTCACAGCTTTTCTGTTCTAGAAATGTCTTTTATCATGACCTTTACATTTACTGTTCTCTTTGCATGAAGTATTCTTCCCCAGACCTTCCCTTAGCGGCTCCTGAAAGGTCACTCCCTTTAGTAGGCCTTGCAGAAGCATTGCCTCCTCATATCCTCTCCCTCATATGCTCTCCTTCATTCCTGTTTTATTTTCTTCATGTTAATTACCACAGTCGGGAATTCATGCTTATTCATGGATTGTATTCCACCCACCCATCCCCAGCTGAGCTCCATGAGAGCAGGGATCCTGTGGATCTGGTTCATGGTTGTAGCCCCTGTTCTGATGCTGGGCTCCTAGTAGTACTTGATAGATTTGTTGAATGAATGCATGAATGGGTGGATGACTACAGCTTTTACTATAGTACCCGAAAACTAGTAAGCACATAAGAGCTCAAAAAACATATAATGGTAATAATGGAAACTAACACTTATCAAGCTCCAATTATTGGCACTGTACTAAATTCTTTACAGGAATTATCTCCTTTAGTCATCACCCAACTCTATGAAGTAGGAATTATTATCATTGTAGCTTTACAGATGAGGAAACCAAATCTTTGCAGAATCAAGCAATTCACCCAGAGATGGAGAGCCAGGAAATTAGTCCAGATTCAAAACCAAGTTTAATTTCAGCACAATCTTATTTGTTCAATGGTTGGCTTCTGTAAAGAGAGACTGCTATTACCTTCATTCGGATTAGTGACTTTGTAATGAACAAGAGCATTACTTGGATAGTTACTACTTGTGTGCTAGGGCTCAGGCTAGGTAAAGGTGATCAGAACTCAAGATTCAGAGGAGAATAATGTGACAGTTCCCACTGATACAGGATACAGGGGGCTCAGTTTAATAAGAAAAACAAATACTGAAGTGTGCTATCATGGATATCCATGATCCAAACACTCTTCCCTTCCCCCACAAGAAACCATGTGCTGCTGGAGGCTTTCTTCCTACTTGTTCCCTTGACCCATGCCCAGGTATTTTACATTCATTAGATTATATTCTAACTGTTTAGCACTGTCAAGGAAGAACTGAAGAGCCATCATTTACTGAGTGCCTTTTTGTAGCAGGTGATTTATATATAGTCACTAATTGTAAAGACCATAACCCTGAGGTGGGTGTCATTATTTTTACTTCACAAATGAGCAGCTAACAGATTATTGGGGTGGTGAATTACAATTTGATGATTACAATACAGTGTCTGATTAGAATGTGATCTCACAAATACTAGAATAGAGGGATTTGTGTGCAAAGACTTATGGGAGCCCTGAGAAGGGATTGGCTCTTAGTTTTCATAGATATTTTCTTTAATACTTATGTTCTAACAAACATAAGACTATCTGGTTTTTCATTATCATATTAGTTTTATAGTTAAAAATTTGTGAACCATGTATATCTCACTTTGCAAAATATATTAATATCTTTATTTTGGGGGGAAAGCAAATACTTTTCCATTTCATTTTATATTTTTAGCAAAATTAATATGTGAGAAGCATTGAAAAATTATAATAAACACAGACTTCTCAATTTTTACATTATGTTTTCCTGGTAGATAGCCTGACATTATACTTTTCTTCAGGTACAGTATAGTTTCATTGTTTAGAATTATTCTTTAATGACTGCTAGTCTGTCCCTCTAGTAAAAATACAGATACATGATAATTATTATTTTTATCCTGAAAATCTAATATTAGAGTAGTTGTTTGACATAACTGAATCACAACCACCTGCTAAACGTGTCCTCAGTAAAATAAAGTTAGATTCTGAATGATTAAGGTGAAGGTATAAGTCATCTTCATTAAAACAAACAGGCAAAAAACTGGACAGATATAAATGTTAAGACATGACTGTAGTACAAAAAAGTTAATAAAAAACACTCGATCTCTGCTGAGCATCTAAAGATGAGCCACTTTCTGCCTGTAGCGAGCATGTGGCATTCTCCCCAACAGCAGCTCTGTGGGGAGGGCCTGTTGCACTGAGAATTATTTCATTTTCTTGAAGTAAGAAAGAAAAGTCAAATAATAAGAAACTCAATTAATAAGACTTGATTTGGTGAATTGCAGTTCGGTAGTGTTTGAAGTTTTAGAGATATTTGCTCCTATTATCTCCATGTCAGTAAAGCCACAATCCAGGTTCACAGGAAAGGACAAGGAGCCCAGCTAATCTAATAGCCTGGCTACCTTCACAGAATCTTTAGGACCCACTTTACATTCATGGACTTTGTACTCTTAGCACTTATCAACTATATCCCCAGGGCCTAGTGAAGAATCTCATTGCAACTGAAGGCCCTCTCCTTCTCAGTTAAGTAGATACTTGAAAATTATGCAAGAATCAAAATTATTCCACTAGGTCCCATGAAAGACTATGCAGTTACAGAAGTACAAATGAAAGGTTCTTCTTAACTACAAACTACATCTGGGATGGTCCTATATACACTGTTATGCTTCATCCTTTTACCTGTAAAGTAATATCATATTAAGGTTGATATAATTGCATAAACTTGTATCCTACTTTCCCATTTTTAACCCAAATACTATGGTCTCAAAGATCATAGAGATCCAAAAGACAGAAAATCCTCCTCCCCAATTTGTGGCAAAGTCCCTTGAAGAAAATGAATTCTATCCCTAACTCAAAATCTCTTACCTATCTACTAGATATAGAAAGGACAGTACCTCAGGCCCACAACATTTTTAGATGTTCAAGAAAATGTTTTCCTTTAAAATCAGAAGAAAAAAAAAATGAACATTTAGGTCAAAGAAAATGTTTAAATATGTAACATTAAGATGGTAATCAATACAGCTGTAAATATGCATGCGGGCTTATGAAGAAGGAGGCCCAAGGAAGTCATAATACTGTGGCTTTCCCAAGTACATAATATTTTGACTTTCCTCAAAACCGTACTCTCTTACATTTTTTAAAATTATTTCTTAGGTATACCAGATGCCACATTTCCTTTGTCAGCCAGGGAAAAATCTCACTTTGCAAGAAATTATTTTACCAGGTTCCTCTCATCAAATCCCCTGATTTTTTAGACGTTTGGGGACGAAGTTTTAAGTCAGTATGTACTCATCTAGGAAGTTTCTCCCCCAAGGGCAATTTTTTAAAGAGAATAAAGATGGTGGGAGGAGAATGAGCACTTCGTGTGACACCCTGACAGCTTGCAAGGGGACGCAATTTCCCGTGCTCGCCTCCGTTGAGTACCTCGGGCCCAGCGGCTATCCCATCGCCTTCTCGCTTTATTCTGCTGCCGTCCAGTAGGCGGCGCGTGGCTCTAACACCCGAAGCTGCCGGCTTCCCAGCGCCTCAAGGACCGTATCCCTATTTGCCCCAAGGTCATAGCTCCTAACCGCACTCGCCAGACCGGGGCGGAGGACGCCACGGAGTAAGCCTGCGGGTCTGGAGACCGCGGTGCGGGTGGGCCCGAAGGGGCGGGGCAGCAGGGCTTGGGGTGCGATCACAATGGGGAAAGGGGTCGAAAGGCTCCGGGGGCCCGGGTCCCGAGCATTCAGCGCCGCCGCCAGACTCCGCGCCCAGGAGGGGGATGGGGTTCGCATAGACGCTCCGCAGGCGGCGTCCGATCCAGGAGCCGGCAGCCGCCGCCACCCCCGCCATCGCTCGCGCCGAGAGCTCGGAGTCGTGTTGCCTGCCCAGGGACTCGGGACCCGGGCTGCCGGCCGAGGGGAGCAGGGCGGCAGGAGAGGAGCTCCTGAGCCCAGCCGAGCGCCCGCCGAGGGAACGTTCTCCCCGCCCCCCGGAACCCGGCCCGCCCGGCCCGCCCCGAGCACCGGGCGATCACCTCCACCCATCTCCTCCCCGCTGCGTCGCCCGGGTCCACCCGGGGTCTCCTCCCCCGGGACGCCCCCGAGCACGAAATTGGCGGGAGCCTATAAAAGCTGGTGACAGCGCGATTGCGGACAAACCGTGCAGGCGTCGGAACCGCCTCTGGACCAGCGCCAATTCCTGCCCTGCTCGGAACCGCGGCGCGACCACGACCATGTCCCATCATTGGGGGTACGGCAAGCACAACGGTGAGTGCGCGCGGCGGGCGGCCGCGGCCGGGATCCCGGCGGGGCCCCGCAGCGCCCGCACCTGCGGTTTAAGCGGCGCCCGAACACCCGAGGCTCAGGTGCCTGCCCGGCGCCTGCCCCTCCCGCCGCTCCCCGGCCCGGGGATGCCCCCATCGTCCATACTCCGGGACACTGTCCAGGAATCCCCGTGTCCGGAGGCGCGCAGAGCCCGAGGGAGGGGCGCCCTCAGCCGCAGAACGCGAGGACAGTCCCTCTGAGCCGGGGACCTTCCCAGCCGGCCCGAGGAGGAAGCAAGGAAGCGTTGTAACGGAAAATTTTAGTTCGTTGATCTCAGAGAAGTTGGGAGACCCCCTTTCTCTCCCCCCCCCACATTCATCCTCAGCACCACCTGTGGCTAAGGCGCTCTACGCGTACTTTCCCGGGGCATTTTCGTGGTACGGTTTGAATTCATTGCGCTCACTGCTGAATTTGCCTTTTATCTCTGGACTTAAACGTTAGGGGGTCACCAGGAACCAACCGGGCCGTATAATGGCTCCGGAGCCAGCAGATGCAGGGGAAGATGTGTCTGGCACATGTCACCTATCTTTGGAGATTTGGGGTTTCCCAAGTAGTGAGGATCTTGACCATTAAAGGAGTGCAGGGCCCGAGTAGGAGCAGTGACTCTGCTCCTACACCCAGTATGAGGACGTGAGGGAGGAATCCGGACCTGACTGATGTCTTAAGTGAGCTTGCGTATCCCACATCCCAACCACAGCCACTGACGTTAGTGTCTGCGCAATTTCAGTTGCTGGATTTCAAGAAAATGAGCATAAAAATAGCTAATATTTATGTGGTGTTCATTATTTGTTTTAAACTTTTTTCATGTATTGATTCCAGTTCCCACAACAACCTGCATGAGGTACATGTTACTGTAACCCCATATAAATAAGGGAACTGAGGCACAAATTATTTTCTCAAAGTTCATTCATCTCAGTGGTGCTGCCAAAACTGGAATGGAGCACGTTGACTCCAGAATCGATGCCCCTTTCTAGGGGTCTAGGTATGCCCTTCCACGCATGGGGGCATTCACGCAGCTCTTGTCAACCCTAGGACCGGAGAACTGGCATAAGGACTTCCCCATCGCTAAAGGAGAGCGCCAGTCTCCTATTGATATTGACAGCAAAGCCGCCAATTATGACCCTTCCCTGAAGCCTCTGCACATTTCCTACCAGCAAGCAGCTTCTCGGAGAATCATCAACAATGGTCACTCTTTCAACGTGGAATTTGATGACTCCCAGAACAAAGCAGGTCAGAATTTAAAATATAACTTGTGTCTTTTTAGCCAGTAGCTGTTTCCTCAGCTTATTGGGAGGAATCGTGAGAGCAGAGGCAGGAACCCTCCTGACACCAGGTACAGTTTGTCTCAGTACTTAGATGCCACTCTGGTGATGTTCAGCAGGACCCAGGCTCTGAGAAGTAGGCTAAGTACTTTGAAGTGGCCTGGAGCTGTGTCTCTCCTGTAAAATTCCTGGTGTCTATGTAGGACATTGAATAACTGTGATATGGCTGTGAAAAGTCACAAAACGCAAAGTCCCCTGGCAATAAGGAGCAGCAAGAGGAGATATGCAAAAACTGAACTTTGAAGGTTCTTTCTGAAATATTTCTTCCAAAATTGATGCCTATCCACAAAAAGTGCATCTTAGTGAATTCTAGGTAGCAGTAAGAAGGGTGATGAAAACCTGACAATTTAAAATACTGAATTCTTGGAAACACTGTATTTATGAATATTTTCTTGGCATGGGGCTCATTAATAAAGGTGGCAGTGTATCTTGGTATTTTTCCAAAAGTTCATTCCACAAATGAAGATGTTTTAGAGCTGGTGGGCATACCTGGCCCACTACTGACAAGACCAATTACCCCAATTTATTTCTAGTAGAGTTGTTTGCAGCAGGCTTATTGAAAGTTTCTTTTTTTTTGATTTAGAAAGAGGAGAACAGCCCCAATCAGACATAGTAGCAGCCTTCTTTGCCGGCTGGCTGATTTAATTGTCAGTGCCCTATTTTCCTGAGTGCTGTCCTCTGAAGGTCATTGAGTGAATAGTGCTGCAAACACGCATGGTGGTGGCATTGGAGTTGGTGGTGGGGGAGACATTGGGGCAAAATGAGAAAAGATAGAGATAGAGAAAAAACATTAATAATGCCATCAAAATTTTGGTGTCATGACTTAAATGGTACTAATATATTACATAATATGTAATTATAGCCATTACAGTCAAGTTGTCTGTTGTATCCAGTGTATTCAGTCCAGTTCGTTAAAAATTCTTCCCTCTTCCCCATTTTTATAAATTTGTTGACACTTTGCTTTCTGAAACACTGATTCTAGAAGACAATTTGATGGAGGATAATGTGGAGATCATCTGAGAAATGTTTTCAACCTGCTTTTGCCTGGTGTGCACCTTACCGTAACACACAACACACACACACATATATACTTGCCTGCATGCACAAATGTGTACACATTCTGGCATAGTACCATAACTTACTAGATTTTAATTATTAGAGTTAGTAGACGATGTTCATAGATGACACTCCTTCAGTGATTCTGCACATGGACTTCCCAGGCACACCTCCCACTCTGGGGAAACAGTGCTCAAATGATTAAGTTAAATATAAGAAAAACAATTTCTTTCCTTCATGTAAAGAATACCATATATTTTAGATTATAATACTACCAAGAATAATGGGCAGTGTTATTCATATAGAAAGGATGCTATAAAATTTGTTTACTTATTTAGAAACTAAAAGAAGTGAACTACTTTAGTCTGTAGCTGTTCCATTTTTTTTTAAAGAGACACAATGTATGCTTCAATGTTACCAATGAAATAATTGTTTCCAATGGGTATGATGTCAGCCAGTTATATACTTCCTTGGGTGCTGCATGGAAATTGGGTCCTTAAAGTCTTTTTTGGAACAAAGAAACGTATGTCTAACACACAGAACCAAATCAGGTAACTTCTTATATTTCTGAAAGAATTGATCATGAAATGAATTGTTAAAGTGGATTTCAGTATTTAGTCTGGCAACTATGAACATAGGGGTCAGACAGACTTGGATTCAAGTTCCAGCTCGTCCGCTAAGTAGTTCAGTTGCCTGGGAACAACAGTAACTTAACCTAAATTTTAGTTTTTTAAATGGTAGAATTGGAGTAACAGTAATATCTCCCAAAGAGGAAGGATTAAATAGAACAGTAGAAATAGATGCTGACAGTGACTTTGGTTAAGTGCAATAGGGAAGTATTCCAAGAACTATGGAAACAAGAGGCTTAAGGAGTCAGCCTGAGTAAGTCAGCAAGGACTTTCCAGGGTAAATAAAGCTTATGCTGAGGCTTGAAGGATTTTGGTGTCTTGGAGGAGACGCCAGGCAAAGGGAAGTAGGAAAGACCAGGGGTCTTAAAGAGAGAACAGTATGTGCTCTAGACAGGCCAGGGGTGCAGTAAAAACTGGGAGGGAGAGAAGTGCCTGTTGGAAAGATTTGCTTTCTTTTACATATGAAAGATCCCCCTGTAATTTTGGCCATTTTCAGTTGTTTTGGTTAAACAAGGAGACACTTTTTTTCTAGGATGCAGACTATATTAAAATGTTGTTATTAGGGGAAAATGCATCTACAGAATAAAACAAACAATCATACCATGCAGAGAAACACCCTTTAGATTGTTTTATTTTTTTTTAAAGAATCCTAGACTAGACTCACAAGTTAGAACAAATGGTAGAGATACTCTGTTCAAACCCATTTAAAATAAACATGGAGAAACAGAATGCTAAAGAGTTTACGTAACTTTCTAGTTGGCTCCTTCCTGGTTTGTTGGAGTTGGGCTAAGTGATAATCACTTGCAAACAGAAGCTGAATAAGAATCTTTATAAATGATAACCGTAGTTAATAATTTAGTGTGTACATAACATGTTTTACAAAATCAATATGCTTTTCCACACACTTAAGTCTAAAAAGTAAATTTTCATTTTGGTCACTCTTTTTAAAAGAATTGACACATCTCTTTTATTAGGAATTATTTTTATGGTGTTAACATTTTTAGGTGTCCTTTACCTCCTGTTTTCTACATTTAAACACTTCAGTTTATTAATTTTTTTTTCCTCCATGAGATTTCAGCTTTCTAGAAATTCTCATAGGTTTAGATTTTCAAACGTATGTTACCTTATACTCAAACTGAAGTACTTGGGTATCAGGAACTGAGCTGGTAGAACTTAGTGCTATATTTAAGCTCAAGAGAATTATTTTTAAATGTGGAGTTAATAGACTTTAACTAGAAATGTGGATTAAAGCTTTTATCAATCTTCTAAATTCCTTTAAAAATAAACCACCTTAAATTAATGAAAAGTTGCTAATCCTGTTAGTTTATTATTATTATTATTATTATTATTATTATTGCAAAATAACTCTCTCTGCTTGAGATCTTTTATTACTAGCTTTATCTGGGAGAAAAGAATAGTACTCAAATGATTAACTCCTGCTAACTTATTAACTTGTATTAATGAGTTTAAAACTCTCCTGCTTAATTGCAAAGTTAGAGGCAAACATCATTGAAAAGCGAGTGCCTGAATCATTGGACAATATATGACCTCTCATATCATTTCTGTGTTTTAGAAATTGGAATATTTTTATCTGTTTATGTTATTATAAGATAAAAGAAGGAAGGAAGCTGAGTTTACCTGTGGTCCTTTTAAGCAGACCCTTGTGTGTGTTGTGTAGGGGATCTTCACACATTAGTCCTGCTCAATTGGCAGAGACTTGCTTTTGAAGCTTTTATCCAATCATAAAGTAAAAGGAAACATAACAACAAATGAAAGGACTTGTTATGCATACTGCTCATACGTAAGCTTAGAACCTTGAGTATCTATAAAACTGACCAATGTATTCCAAGCAGTATATTTAATTATGTTCATGTTAATATTCTTTTTTCACCCTCATGATTTCCATATACCTGAAATTAAAAACTTCTGTTCTCTTGAATTTTAATTGTGTTTACTCCAGTAAAAAATGACAGCTAAATATCTACTTTAAAAGAAGTGGAATGTGGGCATAATTTCCTGAGATATTCACATTCTTAACTTTAGTATATAAACACCAGTATTATATATTGCTGCCAAAAAAGCAAAACAGGGATAATGATTTAATAATTTTCAGATTATTCATAGTGAAGATCGTTCACTGGCTGGAAATTCTGTTTTTTTTAGTTGACTTATTCATTTACTTCAGTAATAGGAAATCCCTTATATTTTAGTTTCAAACTAAAGATTATTGGGAATAGTTTATTTATATTTTGGATTTAAGAGAGAGATCAACATTCACTAAGGTCTTTAGTCCATTATTTGGATATATCTTATGTTAAGTAGTAATCAAGTGATTAGGAAGAAAAATTCAAAAATTGAACTCTCCATTTTAATTTGTATAGGAATTTTGATTTGCTCCAGTGTTACTGGAGTGAAATCTTAATTTTCCCAAGTAACATAATTTACATAATTTTCTTAAGTAATATGGATGGGAAGAGATTATCCTATAATATATTTTGTGCTTATTTTGTGCTTTATATATACAGCATGTATAACTATATATCTATATATATATATATAGATATATATATATAGTATGTATAACTGATGGCATCAGATTTTGAAAATTAAGATCAGTTAGAGCTCTTGTTGGTACTGAGATTTGGGTTTAAATTAAGTTTTGGGAGTCTTGAAAAGGATATCGAATTGGCTCTTTAGAGCTCCACTAACAGGACTAGATTTTACAGAGAAAAAAATGTGCAGTCAGCAATTTTTGCTATTTTTAAAAATTACTTTTTACATTAAACTGGGATAGTTTAGAAAATGGCATTTTGCAGTCAAAAAAAGGAATAAGTAAATAAATAAGTCCATCTAGACTATAGTGGAAACTCCCTCTCTTTCAACCAAATGTTGCCTTTTTTATTTCTCAGATAAAAAGATGTATGCTACCTTTATCAGAGTTTATGGTAATTTATGACTATTATTATAACAATGTTTTCAAGGGACTTCATTGACTAAACACTATGCCAAGAATTTGATAAAAAATAACCAACTAGGTGAAGAGGACCAGAAATGCTGTTGTAGCAACTAAACTGTAAGAATTGAATATCCTTTCCTAATTACAATGGGCTTCTAATCTACATAGCAGCATAGTTTAATTTTAAAAAGAGCTAAACAGGTGTCTGGTCATAATGAATTAGCACTGAATGTGTTCAGTTGTTGAACACAGAGCATTTCCTTTTTTTTTTTTCAGTATTAGCAAGTCTTGTTTAATAAAAGCTCATACACACTCTTGTCTAATTCTAAATGTTCTAGAAATAACTAAATTGGTATGGAATCTTAATATCTGTAAGGGAGTGAATAAGAAATGGCAATAAGTTAGAATTAATAATGTTATAGATGGCATTTGCTTTTTATGATCAGCCAGTTGGTAGCTTTAAAAAGTTATTAGAAAGGAACTGTTTCAGTATCAGTTTATTTCATAAACATGTATTTTGTCTTAAGGGTATTTCATTATGAAAAAAAAGGGAATTCTCTCATTTTTTAGAAACCCTATTTTGGGGGTGGGGGATAGGCTTATTTCCTTACAGAATTATCAGATTAAAGAAAAATTTTTACCTGAGTTGCTTTTAAGTTTAAAGAGATATGATTTTATCAACATATGTTCAAATTCCTGTTTCTTAGTAGATGTGTAATATAACACCATTTATAATTGGTCTTTTTTTTTTCCTCATTCTTTATTTTCCTCCTGGCCTGTTGTAAGGCCAAGCTGTCAACAAGAGGTTGTATCAGGAGCCATAGAAAGGCCCCACCTAAATATCTTCCATTCAGCTTCATTTTTCATTTTGAATAGATGAACGAGTGTTGTTATAATCTCTGCATTTACGTGAAGTTAAGTGAACAAACTTTGTTGTACAGACTTTACCCTTTGGTTTGGCAAAGCCAAAGTGAGTTTCTTTTGGCTCTTTATTTTATGGAATTTTAGACCAAAGCTAATAAAGTACACTTATAGCAAGCTTTAATTCCAGTTCTAGAGAAAAAAAGTTGAAGTAGAACTCAACTAATTTTAAAAGCTTTTAAATACATTGATTAAATCCCATTTACATGTAAGTTAAATAAAAAGTTTTGTGGAAAAAAATCCATTTAAGTTTTTAAAAAATTGGGGAAAAAAACAGTGATTTCTTACTGTTTTAATCCTCTCTTAAAACATAATTTGTGAATTATCTCCAAATAGACTATAATCAAAGAATAGGACTTCTAGTATTGATTCTACTGTATCAAAGTTACATTATTAATACCAGAATAGTGGACTCTTAGGATGATTATTAAGTTCAGAATTTTAAGTTATTGGTGATACCAGAGTACTATGCACTGCATATAGTAAATGATCAAAAATTCTTAATGAAGTGATAAATAATTGCATATATCCACTTTACAGGTGAGAACATTAAGGTGAGAGAAGATCAATAAACAATTTAAGGGGACAAAGCTAGTTAGTCATAGTGACAATCCAAATTCCAAAGAATATGGTAAGCCTATGTACAGAAAATTGGATTTTATACTGTTAGGATCAAGAGAATGTTTATTATTTGTAAGCATTCTTATCCTGGTATGTACAAAATTGTATCAGAGGTGAGCAAAGCATGCTGTGGGACAGTTACAGGCCATGGCAGGAGAGGGGGTCCCACGTTCCCAAGTGTGTGTGGCAGACTAGTGCTGGCAAGCAGCTGCACCCCCATTTCCTCAGTGATTCATGGAGGAATTAATAGCTCCACTTAAGATTTCCTCTCCCTGAACCTGAACCTATCACTCTAAAACACTGAAGAGAATTATCACTGTGCTCATAAAACAGATGGGAAAAACATCGATCCAACACAAGTGAGGGAAAAGAAAAGTTAAAATGATTTTGTTCAGCACTGTAGACTAAACCTGAATCTGGATTTAATTTCACAGTGGAAATGTCGCTACTGGTATAAATTTAGTACTATAAAATAGGATTAAAGACTGTAATACTTAGTAGTGTGTGTGTTTTATGTGCATATGTATGTATGTATTTGAGTGTATATACACACATATACACATACACTCATGCACACATATGCCCATGAGTATACCTGTATGCATATTATATATATATGTATATATATTTTTTAATTTTAGTGCTGGAAGGAGGACCCCTCACTGGCCCTTACAGATTGATTCAGTTTCACTTTCATTGGGGTTCATCTGATGGATTAGGTTCTGAGCATACTGTGGATAAAAAAAGATTTCCTGCAGAGGTGAGGTGTGCTTTCTTTTCTTTCCAGGGAAAAATGTAAATTGGTATTTAGTGTTAATTTCAAAAGCCTAAGTTTGTAAATTCAACTCAAACCAAGTGAGTTGAGGGCCTTTTACAAATGACCTTCACATTTTCTTCTTATAACCTTTATTTGTGATATTAATGCTGCAAAACTTTCTCTACTACCTCCAAGGACCCCATTTGCAAAAAATGTAATGAATTAAAATTCAAGGATCCTTTTTTACTATAAATCCAGAAATAAAATTTGTCTTCCCCAAAAAATAGTTAACTCTTTGTTTTGTAGTTATTGATGAAATCACTTGCTATTATTCCAAATAGTGGCTAATTAGAATTAAAATGAAAGAAAATTTAATTAAAAATTATCCACATTTTCACCCTCTTTAGTAACCTCTACCTGTGAGAAAAAGATCACTGGATAAAATCTGTAGGCTTAATTATGTAAATCATTCATTGTGGGTTTGTCTCCTACTGTTTTAGCTCCACTTGGTTCATTGGAACACCAGATATGGGGATTTTGGAAAAGCTGTGCAACATACTGATGGACTGGCTGTTTTGGGTATTTTTTTGAAGGTTAGTTGATGGCCCAATTCTTTTTTCCCTTGTTTTCAAGAAAGATTAAGAAGACAGAACATTCATAGTGAATAGGACATTCTGCAAAGAGTCTAGATGCCTTTGGCTCCAAAACATTTTCAGGCTTATTTCCCTTTTCTTATCTGGTACTATTGGTAAAGCTGGAGGACAAAAAGGTAGTTGGAAAGGTATTTTTTAGGAACTATTTAGGTGTACATGTGAAGGATGTGTACATGTGAAATGTGAAATGACAAAGAGGTACAATTTGGTTGACTACTAGCTTTTAAAAGAAATTCAACCTCAATCTAGATAGTACTGTTTTATGATAGACAATGCTAAATTAAGATCATGTTTTGGAGGGATGAAGGTCAGTGAGTCAATATTGGAGAATTTCAGGCAACAGTGGGACGTACAGGTTGATCTGCCCTCTAGACCGTTTTAGAGAAAGGTCTGGGCTGGAGATTCATAGGCCCTGACATCATATGCAAAGGTAGAAGCTACAAGTGTACATGAAATCATCCAAGGGAAGCAAGAAGACGGAGATGATAAAGCTTCTGAGCATGCAACTCTAAGAAACTGCAAAATTTAAGGCACTTAAGACAGTGGGAAAGATGCTAATTAGAAGACTAAAAAGGAATAAAAGAGTCAAGGGAGATTCTGGATGCTGGAGGGTGGAAGGAAAGCCAAAGGAGGAGAGAACTTAAAGGAGAAGGGAAATCAATAGTGTAAAATCTTGCAAGAGTGAGGTAAGTATTTGAACAGTGTTCTCTGCCTTGGCAGCTGGAGGTCACTGCTGACATTTGAGATGCTGCTGTTATATTTAAGAGGAACCATAGGAGCAGAAGCAGAGGGAGGTTGTCAGGGAAAGTAGAGAAGTCTATGGTGCCGATATAATCTAACTACGGTTGATTGCATGTAGCAAGTGGTGGATTTTAGTTTACTGTTTGGAGAAATTTTATGATAGAACTATACAAATCAAAACTGGCGCAATACTAACTGGATTACAGTATCTTGTACATTGTGTCTGTCTCTAGATTGGTGGTGCTAAACCAGACCTACAGAAAGTCATTGATGTGCTGGATTCCATTAAAACTAAGGTACTTTGACTTTTCTGCCACCTCAGTAGGGTACCTATGGTCCACATGCCATTGATTTGAGAAAGTTCATTTGATCAAATTGGATAGTCTCAGTTTGATGTGTGGTATTTGGACGAGCAGTTAATAAAGGTAAAATGTTGCTTATTTATTTATTTAACTTTTTGTTATCCAAAAGTTGATCCTATTACTAGTATAATTTTAATAATTTTTTAAGTAGAGTATCATTAATATGTAATCTTATGTTGGTTTCAAATGTATGTCACAGTGGTTCAACAGTATGTGTATTTATTTAATCTTGTATTTAATTTTGCATCTCATCATTTGAACATACACAAGAGTCAGGGAATCCATGATTGTAAGGAGGCTGAAAGACCATCTTGTCAAGTTATTCACTCACTGTGCAGGATGTATTTGTCGAGTACTTACTCCATACCAACCACTTTGTTAACTTAGGAGATATGATGGTGAACATGAAGAATAAGGCCCCGCTTAATGAAGATTCATGTTCTGTGACCTAACTGAGTGCACTCACCCCTGTGTAAGTTCTCCCGACAGCACTTGTTGAGGTCATTGAGCATCTGCTTAAATACTACAATCACCAGTGGCAGCCCTTGCATTATAAGCTTATCTTCAAATTGAAGCAGCACCTATCTTCTGAAATGCTTGGCTATTACTCTTACCTTAACCCCCATGAGTATAAAGAATAAACCTGATCTGAAAACACTAGTTCAAGAAGATACCTGCACCCCCATGTTTATTGTAGTATTATTTAAGTAGCCAAGATATGGAAACAGCCTGAGTGTCTACGAATGGATGAATGGAAATAGAAAATGTGATATATATATAAATGTTATATATATATAATGGAAGATTATGCAACCATGAAAAAGAATGAAAATTTGCCATTTGCAACAACATGGATGGACCTTGAGACATTAGAAATAAGTCAGACAGGGAAAGAAAAATACCATATGCTCTCACTTACATGTGGAATCTAAAAACCAAACAAATGAAAACAAAAAATGAGCTTGCAGATACAGAGAACAGATTGGTGGTTATCAGAGGTGGGGTGAGGAGGGGTGGGAGAAATGCGTGAAAGGGGTCAAAAGGCACAGATTTTCAGTTATGAAATGACTTGAGTTGTAGGGATGTAATGTACAATATGGTGACTGTAGTTAATAGTGTATTGTATATTTGAAAGTTGCTGAGTAGATTTTTCAAGTTCTCACCACAAGAAAAAAATTTTGTAACTACAAATGGTGACTGATGTTGACTAGACTTATTGTGGTGATCATTTCACAATATATACAAATATTAATCATTATGTTGTACACCCTGCAGCTATAATGTTATATGTCAAATGTCTCAATTAAAACAAAGCACAACAAAAAAAAACCCTGATTCCTCTTCCACTTGACTCTGTACTGTCTAATAGCCTTTGCCTTCTCCCAAGCTAATTATCTTCAGTTTCCTTCAACTATTCTCATAAGACAATTTTCTCTTTGCAATGACTTGTCACCCTTTTAGTAACTCATTCCTTTTTGCATATAAGGGATTATTTTAGAGGACAAGATGAGAAATGGACGTGTGTAAATAATAGGTTCTCTCGCCGATCTGTATTTCCAAGTCAAATCTGTTCCTGTTAATTTCTTTTTATTTTGTTTTTTGGTGACCCTCTCTGTAAAAAACAAAATTTCTGGCTACCAAAGAATATTTATGTTTCCTCCCTTCTTGCCTTCCTCCTGATCATGTGACATCTGTAACATATATTTGCCTTGTTCCAGGGTCAGAGCGCTGACTTCCCTAACTTTGATCCTCGTGGCCTCCTTCCAGAAAGCTTGGACTACTGGACGTACCCAGGCTCACTGACCACCCCTCCTCTTCTGGAATGCGTGACCTGGATTGTGCTCAAGGAACCCATCAGCGTTAGCAGTGAGCAGGTTGGTTTTCTAGGTAGATGGAGTGTTTAATCCAGGCAGAAGAGCTCAGCCTTTGGAGTCAGACAGACGGGGGGTTTAATCCTCCTCCTGCTGCTTCTAGCTGTGGACCTGGCACCTACAACAGTGCTTAGCAAATAAATAGCATTCAAGAAATACTTGGTGTTATTAACCATAACCTTACGCAGTCTATTCACTCTGTAAACTTGGATAATCGTGGAAATGAAATGAGAAAAGCAGTCACCTACTAAATGCTTTTTTTTGTGAGCTACGAGGAAGCTGAGGCCCAGAGCAAGATTTCATATTCGAGGTTACCTAGGTGTCAGTGATGACTCCCAGCCTCCGGCTCACTCACAAGAGGGCTTCCTGTAATTCTGTGTATTGCAGAATACATTTCTGAAGTCTGACGAAGAGGCATCCCTTGGAGATAAAGGATCTATCAAAACTCACTCCAAGTTGCTGTAGCAGCCTAGATCTGAGACACTTACACTTTCCACACAGTGTAGCTCATGATGTTCAAGTGATTGATGCAGCTTCTGAATCCCTGATGAATATCCACAGAAGTAGGCACAAGTGAATGCTTCCTAGACCATCTCTTTTGCACATAGGTGAAGTGTAGAAAATGGACATTCATCAGTAGGATCCATAAAAACTTGGATCTTTAATAATTTAAGGAGACAGCCTCAAACTCCTGAAAATTTCAACTATTTAAGTAATGGTAATGTGATTGAAACTTACAAGAACTCCTAACATATTTTAATATTGAAGTTGAAATCATAGAAGTTTAGAGCTGCCATATGTGACAGAGATCATTTCATCCAACATTGTTTTACAGAAAAAGTCTGTGGTACAGAGAAATTGAGGTGCTTTGCACCCAGCTACCTCATGGTAGAATCAAGTCTGACAGCAAGGATTCTATTTCTGCGTTCTCCTTTAGAATATTAACTTCTGAATACTACAATATGTCACATCTTTCTTTAAAGGAAATCTATATCTAGCACTGGAAATTTACTTTTAATGTATCAAAGTGGACCAAGGAAAAATAGTATGCTTGGCTGGTATATGACTTGAAAATTGGCTTTGTAGTCATAACATATTTGAGTAAGCATCTTGAAGGAGTAGCATTAGGAAAGATTATTATGCCCTTTCTTATTTGTAAATGTAGTGTTTGAGTTAGAATTTAAACCATTACAAGTTCTTTGAGATCCACAGCCTTGACATTGAGAGTTATAACAAATGCATTTATTGTGTGTACACACACCAGTAGTACCCACATAGTTAGGGCAATTGAAACTGCTCCATTAATTCCTGTGCACTGAATTTGCCCTTTAGGGCAGGAAGTAGTTTGAAACCAGAAATATATCAACAGGGACACTTCTCATGTCCTGTAACACAGAGTCCAGAGGAAAGGACGTGCTCAGCTCTGTAAGTCAGGGCTCTGGCTCCTCTGCCTTGTGATTCCCCTGGCTCTGCCTTGCCCAATGGGGGTGTCATCCTTGCAAGAAGAATTTGAGCATCACATCCAGACACAAGCACATCCCGAGGAGAAGAGGGACAGCAGGCAAGCCTTTTCTTGAAGTCCCTTAGCAAACCTTTCACATCCGACTGGCTCCTAATTCAGTCCCTAGCAAGGGAATGTGATCACCATGGGAAGTTAAACTTACAGATTTACCCCTCTGAAGCCTGAGGGAGAGTGCAGATGCCTACTAATGAGAAAATATGGGTGATGAAGGCTAAGTAAGCTATATCAATGGATCTGCTACATTCTGTTACTTTTATTTTCTATACTTGGGCTTTGACTCTGTGATGTTAATATGATAAGTCAAGTAGACCAATGTGAAAATGCAATTTAATCTGTGGAGTAGGGAGTAGAAATGGGTCCTACTGGTTTGGTCCAGGAGTTTGATCTGATTGCACTTGATAAACTGATTCTAGTTCTTTCAGATTCCTGGGGTTTTGTTGTAATGAATCAATCCCTAGATATTAGAGATTTCCTTCGCATTGCAATAACAATGGTTGTGTATGTTAACAATAGTCAGCTGGCACAGAAGTTGACTTCATGGGAGATGACTGAGGGAATTTTATTGGACCAAAGAGAACAGGATAAAGGCTATGGATTGATTCATGGGCTGCTACATTATTGTCCAAACCACCTTTCTTCATTTAGATTAAGGCTTCCCTAGGGAAAGGGAAAGTACCACTTTAGCAAAAACAACCCTAGAATCTTACGAGAGTGGTTGAGGGCTGCCTGTGTCACATCACTGGGCCAGAAAACTGAAACAACGTCAAAAGCGCATCAAAATAAGCCAATAACAAGATTTGAAGTCTGTTTGGTCACATTCATTCCTTTGTTTCTATATATTTAAGCAGAGATGCCAGCCACTCACTCACTCATCCATGTGGGTTTGCAGTTTCTGGATCATTTATCTGATTGTATATATGCTGCAGTTTATCTTTTCTAGGGCAGGGACCAAACTTTTATTTGGATCTAGAACTATTATTATTTTACATTTCAGAAGTATTTTATAGGTTTTTGATATTTAATTATGAAATAAAAAGAACAAGCTCACTGAAAATTTCTTTCCAAGTGACACCAACAATTTTGTTTTTTATGAAATTGATTTGTTGAATTAAAGACATATGCAATCTATATGTGATTGTATATGTATTGGGAGTCAAATTGAATTTTGAATATTGATATGTGGTGCCATGAATATTGGGGAATATACTTTAAGATATAATGCAAGCACATAAGTGAATGCTATTGTGAAACTTGTATTTTTAATTTTTTATCTTTTAATTCATCTTTTAGATATTGAAATTCCGTAACCTTCACTTCAATAAGGAGGGTGATCCTGATGAAGTCATGGTGGACAACTGGCGCCCAGTTCAGCCACTGAAAAACAGACAAATCAAAGCTTCCTTCCAATAAGATGGTCCAGAGCTGTCCAAATAATGGGTTTCCTTTTAGTTAAGCACAAATCTACCTTAGTGAATTGGATCCTGGCTGCTTTGTGTCTGATTCTTAGACCCTTCATCTCTTGCCTGATGTGCTTATTTAAAAAATGTGAAGAGCTAGAGCAATTGCCCAACTTGACAGGAAAGCTTGACTGTGCTTTGCTAATGGTAGTAGCTTTTCTGTAACAAAGAATATAATGAAAGGGTAGGAAAAAAGTACCTTGGTTCTGTTTATAGAACATGGAGTGATGAGAACTTATAATTCACTAAAATGCTACTTTTAAAACATGGGAAAGTAGAATGGTAGAGTGCAAATCCATGTCTTGAGCCATGAAATGTAAATCAGGTGAAAAAGTCATGATTCTATGTAATGTAAATCAAATAAAATAAATGCTCATGATTCCAAGAGATTATATTAAAGATTTAAAAATTCTTATATATTTGTAGCAATGCTATCTTAAATATAAATTATGTTGTATTTTAGTGACTCGAATTACAGATGTAAATCAAGTATTATGTGTAAAATTGTTATAGTTGTGATACAGAGTATATTTCCATTCAAATAATATATCATAACTTAATAAATATTGTATTTTAGATATATTCTCTAATAAAATTTGAAAATTCTCTTTTGGGTTATTTTATGCTGGGCAGTGGGTAATAATGGAAGAGCAAATGTTTATTTTATAATTCATATTACTTAATAATAAGGCATCATAATTAGCTTACTCATAATTGAAGGAGTCTCAATAAAAGGAAAAACGCTGAAGGTCATTTGCTGTTTGCCAAGTGCTGTTTTAAGTGCTTTCTGAATATTCATTCATGTGATCTTCATAAGAACCCTATGAGGATTAATCCTGCAAGGGACAAATGGATTAAATTAAAAGCAGCAAGGGGGAGAAGGGTATACCTATGGAATCAATATATGTTCTTTGGAAATAAAGTTCATTTTATTAAGAAAGGGAATTCAAGTGGTACCCAGAAATAAAAGAGTAATCTAAATCTTAGGTAGGTAAATATAGCTATTACAGATAGGAAGAAAAGTGAATAAATGCAATAAAAATCTTCCACCATTGTGGCTGTTACTGGATTTTAGCTTTGTGCCTAGACCATGACATGAATGTTTGGTTGATGAATTATTCTGGAAAGTGAAGTGTATAACTCAAGTTCTACACTTCAAGGGATAAAAACTCTTTGCTACTTAAGTTAGAAAATTCTCTAAGCTCATTTACATTTTCACCTACTTTCCTAAAGAATTATGAAGAGTTGTAGAAGAAAGATCACATGCTTTGGAGTTTAATGATTTATTTGAAATCTCTCTGATCCTGGAGGTAAAAAGAGGATAATACCCAGGCTTGTCATAATTATATGAGGTAATGTCTGGTATATAGTAGGTGGTCAAAAATAGACACTTTTTTTGGTGATTCTGTTAACTGTAACATCAACTTTAATTTCCTGGCATGAAACTTCTCTAGTTCATTGCTTATTGCTTTAGGTATGGGAGACACAGACAACCTTAAGTGGAATTGTGTATAAACTAAAAGTAAGTGTTCTCCAGGGGAACTGCTGAGGACCTCTCCTAAATATAAAATGAAGAATTTAGTTTGCGCATATTTTTACATATTGGTTTTCATTTATATACTGAACCAGAAACGTGTCAACAACTGAGTTCTATATATAGAGAGATGAATTGTCAGGTACTTGGTATGTAATAGATGGATGACCTCCAAATACTGCAATGAAAACGTGTTTCTCTTGGCTAAAATCAAATTTAATCAGGAGATATTTTTCTTGATTTTTTTTTGGTAAAGTTTTTGTCATATTACTCTAACTTATATTAGTGCTTTTCAAATGTTCCATCGGTATATTACTTAAAGTAGAGAACTATATCCTTAGTACTCAGGCTTCAGGAGGTTTCTTCAGCTTAGGTAGAAAAATCTAGAAGAAATTTAACTTGTGGTTCTTCCCCTTGCTCTCCATTCTCTCTCTGTCCCTGACCCCTATTGCTGTTATAGGGGATACAGAGTGCTTAAATATGTTAACAAAAGGTAGCATCGTTACTTTTAATCTAGTGTTTTTAACCATTTGTTTGATGGAAAGAAACGAGAACTCTGGAGGTTCAGATACTGAAAAGTTTATGCTCCACAAATAGAGAATCACATAGTTTCTTGTATGCGCATGAAACTCTAGGTTCAGGATGGTCCTCCCATGGGATTTAGCGGGAGACTCACAGAACGCTGACTTGAGGCCACAGCCAGCATACCTGGAGGGCGTTACTTTCTGTAGTGCAGCATGATGGCCCCAAAGCTTAAGGACTTTTCCTGCAAGTAGAGAAACCTGGAAGAAGGTTAGGAACACTCAGTCGGCCCTGCGCTGACAGGCGCCAGCAGTTGCCCGTGGAGAGGGTGCTCCAGTGTCGTCCTGGGTTCCCTGCGCCCTCACCACCGCCGCTGCAGTGCCCATCTCTGCATATTTTCTCCACGCACCTTTGATCTCTGCAAGGAAGGATGCTCCTGATGTGTTTAGAGAAGGTAGCGCTTCTGGTCCATCTCTTAGAAGAATGACTCTGGCTTGTGGGGTAGAGCCCAACATGTCCTCCTAGGGCAATTCTCTCCAGTACTCAGTCACTAGTCTGCCCCTCCTAGCCCTTCCTTACTCCACCTGAGTTACTACTTTCTAAATGATTTCAAGTATGCATGCTTTGTTTTGTGAGGTCTATTCTCCGAAAGTTTTGGCAGGAGGTATGATGCCATTCAGCTCTGAGATCTGTGCATGGACATGGGATACATACATGCAGAATTGAAAAACAATTTTTTGTTACACACACACTGGCTGGCAATGTGTGTGTTCATTCATGATGTATAGATAGTTTAATTATGGCTCTCTTGGTGAGCCACTTGGTTCTATCAGGACCCAATAATGAAGTAGAATTTAGCGCTACATCTTTTTCCATGTCACTCTCCTTGCATAGAAAATTCAAGTATTACCGAGCAATGCAGGCTGAAGGTGTCATAGAGGGAAAAGAAGTGAAGTTTTTCATCATACAGTGCATAGAAAGGAAAAAAAAAGGGACTCACCAGCCTTTCCTCTTGGCCCTCAAGGACTCTGAGTCTCCCCAGGCTGCAATCTTGTACCTGGGCCTCCCTTGGGCCTCATTTTCTCCTATTTTGAACACAGAGCAATTTGGTTCCATCCTCCCTTCTTTCTCCCTCCTAATACACGCATGCGCACCCTCGTGTATGAATGCACAAGCATGTGTGACCATACACACACACTTGCACACACACATCTGTCTCTTGATACTCCATTGCACATAAACGTGCTAAAGGCCAGCAAAGGAGAGTTCCCTGAGTTTCAAAATCTCCTCATAAAGGTGGCAGGAGAAACACAAATATTTATTTTTCTTTCACTATTTTTAATTCTACCATGCATGCATTATGTGTCATGTTTTCAACACATTCCCATTTTACAACTGAAGCCTTGGGGCTCAGAGGGACTAGGAACCTTATCTAAGTTCCCACAACAAGTGCACAAAAAAGGATGCAAATAAAAGTTTGTGTATTCATGTTTTCTGCACAGTACATGAAGGAGGATAGTTGATGGCACGTGGCCTATTCTTTAACTGGAGCAAATCCCTATCCCCATCCCTGCCCATGTCTAGACTGCTGGGTTTTTTGGAGACAAACCATAAGGAACGGGTTTTGCCTGGTACCACGTCTGTTTCAGAGCAGTTCAACCAGAACTTGACTACATGTTACTGAATGAATATATGTGTATTTTAAAATTAAATGGAATGAAGGGTTCTAGAGTTGGATGTTGGTGATGCTTACAGCACAATGTGAATGTGCTTAACACCACTGAGCTATAAACTAAAAAATGGTTAAAATGGTAAATTTTATCACCATTTTTGAAAAAGTCAAACATAAATCACTTTTATATTATTCACTATTTCATTATTTGTTTCTTTCCTGTTACTTGAAACAAGCATATTTTGCACAAAACAAACATATATTCACAAATCTCACTTAGAAGATGGACAAGGCCCTGAACAAGACCCTGGCCCCAGCACGAGCCAGATCTAATGACAGCAAATGTCATGGTTCACCATTATGGGTTCCGGAATTAGATCATCTGTTCAATGCCTTGCCTTTTTTCTCTTAGCTGCATGAACTGGGGCAAGTTATTTAATCTCTGTAAGTCTCCATTTCCTCATCTGTAGAATGTGAATTACAATACTAGCTATTACATAAGATTCTTGTGAGCTAATCCATGTAAAAGAAATACTATCATGCTTAGAAAGCACTTTAAAATACCATTGTCAATTAATAAGAACTATGGACCCCCAAACTGACCAGGAATGAAAAGTCTTCAGTATTAGTCCAGTTCAGACTGGGTGGGATACTGTCCAATGTCTGCTCCTCCACAGCATGCAAGCTCAACATTCTTACAGATTCTTTGAGTGGAAGAGGATTCCTGAATCCATTCAACAGCAGCTGTCCTTCTGCATTAGTGAGCTAGGGCTTCTGGAGCACAGTACAGCCAACTGAGGGCCTCAAACAGCCCTCTCCTGTCCTCCTGTTCTGGAGGCTGGAAGTCCCAGATCAAGGTGTTGGCTGGGCCTCTGAAGGCTTGAGGGAAGGATCTGTTCCCAGGCCCCTCTGCAAGCCTCTGCTGGTTCTTTGACTTATGACAACATAGCTCCAGTCTTTACACAGTGTTTTCCAGTGTGTATGTGTGTGTGTCAGAACTTCCCCTTTTATATAGGACATCAGTCATATTGGATTAGGGACCCACACTACTCCCATGTGATCTCATCTCAACTAATTATATCTGCAACAACCCTACTTCACAATAAGATCACATCCTGAGACACTGAAGGTTAAGATTCCAACATTTCTTTTTTTCTTAGGGGGAGGGACAAAATTCAAACCAAATACCATTCAAACATACTTTTACATAGATTGTGTCATATGACAAAGTGAAATTATATTCCTCAGAAATTCCAAACTGTCCTTTTTTTTGGCTTCTATTTTATTTATTTATTACATTTCTACCAAAGGATTTTATGGCACATATATGGCAGATTTTACTCACTGCAACAGAAATTCAATATAAATTTTAGAAGGGAAAGAAGTACAAACTAGAGTCCCTAGGTGTTTATATTGCATGTGAATTTGTGTTTCACAAGAAGCAGGAAGTTTTATAGTACATTTGTGTAGGTACCAATCTAAAAAACATAAACACTTCTCAAATTACACTCATGTCCCTTATGTCTTAAAATGTATTTTCTTATTAACCTTCATTTTTCCACCAGCATGATTGATATTGTAGAGTCTCAGTTACAAGACACATTCTTGTACCATGAAAGCAAAGGCATTTCTATATGCCTCAGAATATGACCTAATACTACTTGTGTATCAAACTTCTATAATCTTTAGATAAAATAAAGCTCTAACAGCTTTGTTAGCTAGCAAAAATGCTTTTTTGTATAAAGTAAGTAGTGCGTGAATTTAGTTTCATGTCAGCTCTGATCTACGAGGAGCAAACACTTCACTTTCAAACCTCCTTCTTAAGTATCTAACATTCTGGCACATCTGGATTCCAGATATGCCCTTTAAAAGGAATTCACTTCATACAATTCTCCTGGGCTTTTCAAGGACAGAGAGCAAAGCATTAGAATTGTAACTCAGGCAGAGAGTTAGCTAAACTCCATGCTATTGAATGCTAATAAAATCAGACCCTTAGGTTGAAGATTGTAAGAACTAATAATCCGT